AAAAAGTCAGACTCTTTCCTCTTTATAAGCTCTCCACAAGTACTGGAAAGCCGCAATGAAGTTTCCCCAGAGCCTTCTCTAAGAGAAACAAGTCTAGTTCCCTCAACCTTTCTTGATAGGAGAGGTGCTCCTCTCCTGTCAACCCATAGCAGAGAATCATAGATTCACAGAATCACCAAGGTTGGAAAAGACCTACGAGATCATCCAGTCCAACCGTCCACCTATCACCAATAGCTCTCACTCAACTATGCCCCTCAACATAATGCCCAGACATTCCTTGGACACCTCTACAGTCTGCGACTCCACCACCTCCCTGGGCAGCCCATTCTAGTGTCTGACCACTCTCTTGGAGAAGTAGTATCTCTTAGCATTCAGCCTGAATCTCCACTGACACAACTTGAGGACATTCCCTCTAGTCCTAGAAGTTACTAACTGCAGTGGGAGCTTTAAAGGACAAAAGAGATTAGCCCAATTTGCTTAGGAAAGATACAGTGTCACAATAAATGCTTGTGGAACACCAGAGCACAGCACTTGACTATCACTGTAAGTTGGTCTTGGGCAGTATCAGCTGCAGAGCCGTCCTCATGCAGCAGCTGCAAAACATGGAACCAAACAAGAAAGCGGTTTTGCATGCAAATGATGCAAAGGATTAGGGATTATAAAATCCATTTGCTTTATTACAATGGTCACTACTTGCAGTGCATTGTCTCAAAGTCCTGAAAATATCTGTTCCTGCCAATTACATATCCATTATCTCAGGCTGTAGGGATCCTAAGTCTAACCACACAATCAATGAGGTTTTTTTGCAAGGACAAGACAGACATATATGGAATGCAAAGCAGAGGTGCACGGCGCAGTTACAGACTGGAACAGGCATAATGTCTGGTGAAAACAGAGAAACACACCAAGCACAGGGGAAGCATCTTGACACATCAAGCTCAACTCAGTTCTGGTATTTATCAGTAAACACGAGTTGGGGTTAAAAAATTGAATTAAAGCTATTTTTTAAATGAAAAAAAAAAAAAAAAAGATTTACTGACTTCAATTTTGAGAATTGTTTTGGAGATTGTGCTCGACTGATTGCTCACGCATTAGACTTAAACAGCAATTTCAGTCTGAAAGCCACTGTCAGAGCAGACATCCTTCCCACAACACAATTTACAGTTTTCAGTGAATAGAAGGTATCTGATAATGAAGAAGAGTAATGCTGTGCTGCTGTGTTATATTATACACATCAGAGCTTCGAGGAATCTACTGCTTGGGAGCCCCTCCAGCTTGACATGGCACCTCTGCATTTGATTTCCATGAGTTAAAGGGGGGTATGCTTCCTTGTATGTTTTATACACTTTTGCACGTAAATGTAATGAAGCGCCTAAATATCACTATCAAGTCTTAATACTTTAAATATTGTGTGAAAGGCTGCAGTTACGTTCAGAAATGAATGAAAAATGGAGATGCTCACTTTCTTCAACCTCTATCATTACTTTTGGTTTCTACTGAACAGAAAAGCTTTTACTCCTAGCACTTTCCGTTTCATTTAGGAAGTGCAAAAGAATGGGTTGGGTTCTGTCTGAGAAAGTCACCCCAGTCAGGACAGCAACTGAGACTCTGGGGAAAGGGAAACAGCAAGAGTCAGAAATTGCTGGAAGACAACCATCCAGGAAAAAGTGATTCCCATCTATGGCCTACTTGAACATTACATAAGCCTTAATTACACCACCAGGGCTAGCACTACGTTTAAAGCCAATCCCCCTTCAAATATCATTTTCTCCCAAAATAGTTTAAAATACGAGATCGGAAACAAGAACTTAAATTGGTTCCATAAAGTGATTTGTAATGTTTACACAGGAAATCACTAGCAAAAACAATCTTGAAGAACAGAATATTTGTAGTTCTCTGGAAAAAGAAGACCAAACGAAAACCAAGGCAAAAAAAGAAAAAAAAATAAAAAATAAAAAATCTGAGAGGCTCTGACCATGCTCTGGAAGGCTACACAATATGCATGCATGCTTAAGAAAAATCCTCATCTCCTGATTAGTGAAGGCTTCCCTGGAATTATTGTATTGTAGAATGGTCTGGGTTGAAAAGGACCACAATGATCATCTAGTTTCAACCCCCCTGCTACGTGCAGGGTCACCAACACCAGACCAGACTGCCCAGAGCCACATCCAGCCTGGCCTTGAATGCCTCCAGGGATGGGGCATCCACAACCTCCTTGGCTAACCTGTTCCAGTGCGTCACCACCCTCTGTGTGAAAAACTTCAATTCTGCACAGATAAGCACTGTCACTTATAAAAATAAAAATCAAATAATACAATGCATAATAACTCAAGGTTTCCAGTTTTCTCTTTTTAAATTAACACTAAACAAGAAACAGGCAATTGTAGAGGGAAGTGAGTTTCCATTTTATGTCAGTTCATCTTGCTGCAGAAAGGAAAAACAAACAAATGAAAAAAATACCTCCCCCCAAACCTCATCTGCTGTTATTCCAGTGCAGCAGCACAGCCACCTGACACAGACATAGCCATTTCTGCATGCAGGCAGCTCTCTCTCGAGGGTGCCAGCCTGGCTGCGTGCTCTTTCTTGCAATCCCTGTTTATGACAAAACACATCCGAATGTGGCAGGGGAGAGCTCAGAACATCACATGAAGCAGCACCAATTGGGGGCAGGAGATGCTGTGTTGAGCAGGATGTTCTTGGAGAACCATTTAAAAACGTAGCTAGAAAAAACCTTTATAGACTTATAACCTTTTTTGATAAGGAATACAGCAAAGCAGACCGTTTTCACTTGACATAACAAATGGAGAATACGCATGCTTTTAGTGAAAGGTCATTCTCAAACACTCGTAGAAGAGGCTTTCCTTCTGATATACTAGCAATTTAAAGACTCTTGAGATTATCAGTGCATTTCCCTTGCATATCTTTTTGAGATTTAGTAGTTGCTCCTTAAAATATACACATTTTTTTCCTCTAGAATTTCTCCAGAATCCTCTAAGTTCACCCCAGTTCACATTTAAGACAAACAAGACAAACCAAAACGAAACTCTTATTTACAAGATTATACCTAAAAGTAGAAACAAACAAAACTCACACCAACCCTGCTGCTCAACTTTACTTATCCAGCACTGGTGTTCTGCTGTCACCACACTCACCATTCCCCTCTACTACACATTTCCTTCATGTTGAATCACAAAGATATTCCTCCTTCCTGCAGCAGAGGTACGTCTCTAAGTTCATGCCACCAGGAAGATCTTGAGGACAGGGATCAAGTCATCTACTACCAAAACTGGTATAAACATCAAGCTGATAATATTTTCTCTAAAGAACCTTTTGTGTAAATCCTAAGATTTCTCCCTGCACAAGATTGAAAACAACTACCTTCTGCAATGCAATTTTACTTCTCTATTTCTCCAAGAAATAAACCTTTTGCCATCCTAAACATTTTCCTATTATCTAGAGCAGTATCCACTTCCGTGCAAATAGCTGCACAAAGCACCTGCAGCTCTTCTGACACCCAAGGCAGACATATATGTCAGGTCCTGACCTGCCAGGGTTGAAACAATATTTCAGCATTTCCTCTCTGTGACATGGAGATGGAGAGCATCCTACAGTTATGACACATTTTAATATAGAATTCAATGCAAGAGTATGATTAGCATCGAGTTTCTTTCAGGTTGCCAGGCTAGAGATGGTGCATTGTTTCTAAACAGGTGTTGGCCAAACAGGTTCACTATGACAACCACCCATGCTGTGGACTACAGCAGTATCTCTCCATGTGGTAGGATCCTTTTGTTCCACTGCTCTCAGGAGGATGGCCACCAGCACCTGCTTTCTTGTAGCCATACTGGCAACAACACACCTTTCAAGATCACAGGAAGGGAAATATCTAAATATACACTTTTTAAAATGGAATATGATGTTTGAAAATAAATACCAGACCAGTTCAAGCATCAGGAAGAGGGCTTTACCAAGAAAATTATTAATTCCACGGAGCAGGAATTACGCCTTCTTCCTCTTCCCTTTCACAAGCTGCACTGGTATCCTCCAGGCTGGCATTTTAGGGATAATAATAGAGCCAAGGATTTGTTTTTAGAACTGGAGCACTACAGTCCTGGCAGCAGACACCGCTCACACCTTTTGTGCGCTGCCATATTTTTTATCTTCTCCTCCCCTCACCCACCAACAGGACCGAAGGAATCCAACAGCACGGAAACAGCTTTATAAAGACGTCCGGTACCCAATATCTGGAATAAATACCAATAACCCCCAAAACTCCACGCCGCTGAACTTTGTGAAGACAGGCCAATGCAGGAGGACATCAGTATTTCCATGCTACCAGAAGTTAGCAATTTACAGCCACGGTTAATAGGCCAAATGAGCCCTACGCTCAGCCCATAAAGAGCCCTGCAGTATGACTATTCTGTTTCCTACAGGAAATGAGATGCTTGTACGAGATACCCCTGTGGTTTTCGTACTGTAAATGTATCAGCTGGTACAAAGCCTCCACAGAGGGCCATTAACTAATGCTTAGAAAGAGCAGCGCAGCAGCAGACCGCACGTAGCACCTCGGAGACGAAAAGCGAGGACCAAAGCCGACGACAGAGATCGAGGGCCGGCATCCTGCGGCGAAGGCTGTGCGGGGAACAGACCTGCCCACGTCGCCCGGAGCCCTCACCCCGCTCCTCCGCACGAGGAGGCCGCACCCGCCACCCCCCTTCCCCACCCATAGCCGAGGAGGCCCACCCTCAGGCGCACGTCCCACCGTGGCCATTTTTCCCCCCGTTCTCACCCGCTCCCTCCCGCCCGGCCGCCAGGGAGGAGCCGCCCGCCCCGACAGGACCGCAGCCCGGCAGGGGAGGAGGAGGAGGAGGAGGAGGAGGAAGGGCGACAGGGGGTGGAGACCGCCCGGGGCAGGGCCGGGGGCGGCCGGAGGGGCGCGGGGAGACAAAGGGGGGCGGCGGCAGCCCCGCCGGACACCTGCCCGCCCGCCCCGCACGTACCCAGCAGCAGCAGGCGGTGCGTCTGCTTGTACTCCCGCTTCTGCTCCTTGAGCGCCCGGTCGATGCTCTTGCTGACTTTCCTCGCCTCCTTCTCCGCCTCCCGCTCCTCCAGGCGCAGCTTCTCCCAGGGTCTCTGCAGGGCCGGCGGCGGGTGCTGCGTCTGCTGCTGCCGCGCCGCTTTTCCCCCGCCGGGGCCGCCGGCCTTGGGCAGCGACGGCCGCTCGGGGGCCGCCCCGTTGCCGCCGCCGTTCTGCAGCAGCAGCGGCGGCCCGTCCGCTTCGCCACCGCCGGGCTTGCCGCCGGGCCGGAGCAGCGCGCCCTCGCCCAGAGGCTGCGGCTGCGGGGCGGCGTGCGGCTCGGCCGGCGGCTCCGGCTCCGAGGCGGCGCCGGCGCCGGACGAGATGGAGCCGCCGCCGGCGTCGCCGAAGAGCCGCGGGCGCAGGCTGTAGCAGAGCCCCATGGCTCGGTGCCCCTGCCGGGGACGGGCTGCGGCGCGGCGGGGCTATAGCCTGGGCGCTTCCCGCCGGCCCTACGCGCCGGGGCGGCGGCGGCGGCGGGGGGCGCGGGCGGGCGGGGAGGGGGCGCCGCGGAGCCCCTCAGGGCCCTGCTGGGCCATCTTGCATTTTCCTCCCCGGGCGGCTCCTCCGCGCCGATCACCTGACGCCGAGCTGCCACCGCTGGGTCCACCTTACCGTAAATACCCCAGCGCCAGCCCACCGCGCAGCGCCGGGCGCCGGCGGGGAGGGGCGGGGGCACCCCGCCCGCGCACACTCACGCCGACACGCTTACACACTCACGCCGGCACACGCAGCGCGGGCTGGGAAACGCTCGCCCCCTGCGCAGGCGGGCGGGGAGGTAGGCAGGGAGGTGGCCGTGGCTTCCCGCAGGCCGCTGCCCCCATCCCGGGCCGCCTTACCCGCTTCCCGCCGGCGACGCCCCGAGCCCCTCCGGGAGAAGCTCGGGAGCTGCCCAGGGGCGCCCGGCGCTGTGCCCTGAGGGCGGGCGAGGCCCGAGCCCCTCACGGCCAGCCGGCTCCCGCCCGGCCGCAGGCCCCGCACGGACGTGCCGCCGTGCCCGCAGTTAAAACACAATTTTCAGCCCGTGTATGCAGTTCTCTACACACACAATGCCTGGCTCCGCCACCCGAACGCTGACTAACGGAGTCGTGGGAGGAAGAGTTTGGATGTGGTGTCTCAGGGAAATAATAGGTGATAACTGGGAAGCGCTCGCCTTTTGCAGCAGTAGTACTTCATGGGTGTGGAAGGCTGTGCCGTGAAGCTAGTCTGTGTAAAGACAGTGGCAGCCCTCATGACAACAAGTCTTGGGCAAATTTGGACAGGTCCTGATTGCCCTGTCCACTGGAAGGCACTTGTGCAACCCTAGGCCTTGGTTTGGTCTCCTCATTTTGCCCAGTGATAGCCACAATTACAAACTCCTATAGGAAGAAGTGGAGAGAGGTGCAACCTCCACACTCCTTCACAATGAGTGAATGAGAGCAAATTGGCGATAGTTTTTAGTACCTGGATCTGGGAAACAGAACTTCATTCCTGGCAGAGTTGCTCCTGTCAAGAAACCTAATGAATGGCCTCTAGAACATGTATTTTGCAAACAGTGAGTTACACATTAACATCCCCCCCCCAAAAAAAAAAAAAACAAAACCACCCTGCATTAACATAAAATAAATACATTTTAACTGAAAACATCAACTTGCTGTTAGTGCACCACACAGAGGAAAATTTTCCAGTGAAAATATTAGCAGGATCCAGCACGTTGTAGAAGTTGTTCTTGTCTACCATTCAAAACACTGACCAGCTATTTGCAGAGATAGGTGCCTTAGAATCCTAGAACTGTAGAATCATGGAATGGCCTGCATTGGAAGGGACCTCAAAGTCTACCCAGTCCCACCCCATGCCATGGGCAGGGCTGCCCCCCAGCAGCTCAGCTGCCCAGGGCCCCATCCAACCTGGCCTTGAGCACCTCCAGGGATGGGGCACCACAGCTTCTCTGGGCAGCTGTGCCAGTGCCTCACCACCCTCTGAGTGAAAAATTTCCGCCTGACATCTAATCTAAATCTCTCCTCTTTCAGTTTAGCTCTGTCACAAGACTCCTGTAGCTGTTACTTCCACTGTAAGTTTTAACACTCAATTATTTGATATCCTAGTTACATGTTGGTTGCAAAATATATAAGTGGTTGCCTAACAGCAGGGGTATTTCACCACTGCTGCAATGCTGTTGTGTTGGGGCTGAAATTCCTCTGGCATTATTGTGGGCCACAGCGGTAAGCTACCTCTTAGGCTGTGAATGAAAGATTTTGTTTTTTGTCTGAACTGGGTTTTGGACAGGGCTAATCTTGGTGTTCATTTCGGACCAAATAGCAGGGATCCAGGGAGTAGTGGCTGTACGCTTTTAACCGTAACGAGGTCACAGAATCTCAGCACCATAAGGGGCTGAAAGGGACCTGGATGAAGATCATCCAGACCAACCACCTGCTAACGCAGGCTCACATTCCCCACCGTAGGTCTCACCAGAAATTGTTCAGGTGGGTTCTGAATATCTCCAGAGAAGGAGACTTTATTTTTTTTATTTTTCTTTCTGGGCATCCTGTTCCAGCACTCTGACACCTTACAGTAAAGAAGTTTTTTCTCATGTTCATACGGAAGTTCCCATTGCCTCCTGTTCTGTCATTGGGCACCACTGAAAAGAGCCTGGACCCATCCACCTGACTCCTGCCTTTTAGACATTTATAAGCATTCATAAGATCCCCTCTCAGTCTCCTTCAAGCTGAACAGTCTCATGTCTCTCAGCCTTTCCTCATAAAGGAGATGCTTCAGGTTCATAGTCATTCATAGTCAGTCATTTCATAGCCCTCCACTGGACTCTATCTATATGTTCTCTGTCTTTCTTGAACTGAACAACTCCAAAAAGCTTGCCTACTAGCTGTTAATATCTTTTTGGCCAAAGGAATTGTGATTATCACTACTTTTGGATTACTGTGGTCTGGGATTGTGAAGAATTTAGAGTGAGAAAGTCAGTGTCATGCAGTTTTCTCATCTGAATGCTGTTTGGAGAGCCTTTTGTGGGACAACATTCAACATTTTCTAAGGTGAGGCATCTAAACCAAAGCCAAACAAGCGACCTAATTTTTCTGTGGCGCTAATTACTTATGATTATGTTAACTGAAATGAATGAATGTGCATATATACATATATATGTATCTGAGTCTGAACTGAGAGCAAAAAACATTAAACAGTTTTCTTCTTCTTCTTCTTCTTCTTCTTAATGCATGGTTCCACCTAGAAATTAAGCAATGGAGGTCTGTCCAGTTGTACGTAGCAACGAGGTATGCCCACCAGATGGCTCTGTTTCAAGGAGTAATACAATTCTGGTAGGTAAATATTTAAATATTATTCTCATGAAATTTTTCCTTACCCTTTCTTAAAAAGGAGACTTTTTTTACATTACTTGAACACTTAACATGAATATAATTTATGTTCTATTTTATGTTTTTAAAACAAATTTGATTTAACACTGTTTCTTCAGTATGGAGGAAGTTGGATTTTTGACATATAGATGGTGTTCCAGATTTTAACCAAGGGATGAGAGTTTGTGATCTATCTTAAACAAATGTAGTAACTGCAGTTGCCTTGAAAATTTAATCGTGTGGGAATTCAACGGACCCCAGTTAAATAGAGATCTATTTGAAGTTTGATAAGAAAAGGAACTTGAAGTCCAGAAGTTTTCCTGGGGCTGGAGATTCTTTCATCTTCTTTTTGTTGCTCTGATTATTCCCTATAGTAGTAGTTAATGAGTTATCAATACTCTGACTACTGCTTTGCAGTGTTGTTTTTCTGTATTTTCATTAAAATAGCACCATGTATTCAGAGACTATAAATTCAGAATCTGTACTGGAATATTCCATCTAAATTATTTGAGCATTTTTTTTCTCAATACTTTTCGGACTTCACTGATGAATAGTGAAAATGTTGCAAAGTTTTATGTTTATTAAAGAGGAAAGTTATGTGATAGAAGAAAAGCAAAACAAATCAAAGAAAGATGAGCTCTGACAAAAAGAAAGTATTTGCATTTGCCTAAATCAAATTCCTATTGAGGTTAATTTTCTTCTTGGTGAAAGGATGTAGGATGTTCCCAGTTTTTGTTAGATGCTAAAGATCTCTATGTTCTTTGACAGGCACTTTTCAAAAAAACCTGCTTGGTTCTTGTGATCTCAATATTTTTGTTGTAGTTATTATGGTATATGACAATAAGCACTAAGCTACAATTTAGTACTTATCTTTTCCCTTGGTCTTCTCTTTGAGAGGTGGTGTGCCTGTACTGCCCTGCCAATATATGGGAAAGTAAAATAGAGTTCTTTGATATATGCTTTGCTTCCTAATGTCTGGAATCTTTGTGTAATGTTGCTGACTGAAATCTTATCTGCAAGCACAGGTACACCAATAGACCTGCTGCATATGAGGAGTACAGAGGTTAGATGATTCTCCTGACTTCCTGAAAATATCAGGTAGTCCAAAGACAGAAGAGCAGAAGGAAATGGTATTATTTTCTTGGTCTTCTCATACAGGGGTAATCTGGTCGGTCCTGCAGGGTAGTGCCTTTCCTCATGACCTGAAAAATTATGAGAAGTATGAATAAAGTCAGTTTTGTGTTGTGTTAGGAATGTGCTGGCTGTGTTTCCTCTCCAAACTATTTACAGTAGACTGGAGGATTTATAACCTTTCCATTCTATAGTCGCTCCTTCCCAATGGCATCTCCAGAGCTATTTTTCAGCTTTATTTCAGAAAAAATAGCTTCACCATTTAGCTTGACAATAGTATTTAAAATACTATATTGAAAATTTGGGGAGCCCATTTTAACTGCGAACCAATGCAGTCAGCTATTGTTCACTAGTCCTATGGAAGTCTCAGCTACACAAACACTGTAGATTATTTTAAACTCCCTCTTGAAAGATTATGTTTTGTTTCACCAGTATATCAAAAGGAGAAAGGTAAATTCTTCTAAACTGCAGTCAGCCCTTGTAGTTTCACAGACACAATGAATATAATACCTCTGTTTTCACAGAATAACTCCAACCTTCACCACAAACTTTACTTGCCGCTTTTACTGGTTGCTTGAAGATTGCAAAGTGGGAGGATTGTGCTGGGAATTCAGTTGTAAATGTGATAGTTGCAGAGCAACAGTTATCCAAATCTAATTTTTGTCAAATTCCCTCTCCCTCAGCAGGATCCAGCTTATCATATCTGAATACAATAGCAGTAAAACAATTTACTTCTTCTTGAGGAGAGCTTCTTTTTTTTGAAGACTGTAAACTATGTGCCAGCTCATAGAGAAGGTTTTTAGTTTGCTACTGATGATAAAATAGTAAAGGATTTAGGTTTATTAAAAGTGGGGCTATTAGTGCCAGCTGGATTAAAATTATCTTCTAAGTCCCTTTAATAGATCTGT